AATGTTTTGTGTAGTCTGTTATGACAATTGAGCTTGATTGTCGCCTGCGACCAAGGTCCCAAGCTGACAGGTCCAACTACTTGCTTCCTCTGGGTAACTGGCTGTGGCCAAGAAGTGACTACAGCCTTGTCCCTTGTCAGCTCTCCTATATAAGTTTGGGATTGATTGTAACCTCTATGGAAGCAGACTGCCGCATCTTTGTCCTGAGAAGTGACTGGTGGCTTTGAACCACTGACCTTGTGGTTAGCAGCTGAGCACATAACCACTGTCTCATCAGGTCTCCTTCCGTAAAGGATGCAGCTTTGGAAACGCTAGGGGGCAGTTCTCTATCCTCTAGGGGCGCTGAGCTGGAGTCGAATCATGGCAGTGGGTTTGGTTTTGGGTTTTTGTGACGGTTCTGTGCTTGGCGTCTGAGGAAGGGCCAGACTTTCCCGGAGCAGCGGCACTGTAATAGCTTGGTTTCCAGCTTGGCTGTGATTGGCGCCTTCGTTTTCCCCTCTGTTAAGTGGATGGTTTGGTCAGCTGTTTCTATTTCCGTATTGTTTGGTCTTGCTTTGTGTTTTGTTTTGTTTTCAGCGTCCTATGCTCAGATCTCGAGAGCCATGCTGGCCCCATGGTCGGATCTCGCCTTCCGTGCTGGGGACTGAGGTGCGCTTCTCGGCCAGCACCCGCCACACACCCACCGCCCGTAGCTTATGTGTTGCTCTTGTGCTGAATGGGTTTTGGCGGAGCTTCCAGACTAAGATGAGACAAGGACCTTGGCCATCTGCTTCCAAACATTGGCCAGTGAGAGCCCTGTGAACAGTGGGCACAGAGGTGGCAACGTTTCTGTGCCCAGGTCACCATGAGTCACCGTGAGTCAGGGACAGTCCACAGCAGCCAACAGTTACAGCACAGACCCAACTCATAGCGACCCCTCCTTGGGTTTCCGAGGCAGTATCACTACAGAAGTAGATTGCCCAACCTTCCTTCCGAGGAGTGGTTGGTGGGTTTGAACCGCCAGCCTTCTGGTTAGCAGTCAAGTGCTTAAGGACTATGCCACCAGAGCTCCACTTTAATCACCTAAGTAGACCGACCTAAGGAAGGTTGGGCAATCCTACTTCTGTAGTGATACTGCCTCGGAAACCCAAGGAGGGGTCGCTGTGAGTCGGGGCTGACTTGACGGCACATAACAACAACAACAACAAGTGGACTGAAGAAGAATGGATGCCTTTGAATTACGGTGTCGGCAGAGAACACTGAATATGCCATGGATGCCCCAAGAGGGAGCACATCTTTCTGGGAAGTACAGTCAGAGGCTCTTTAGAAGCAAGGATGCTGAGACTCCTCTCGTGGACTTTGGTCGTGTTTTCAGGAGGGACCAGTCCCTGGAGAAGGACGTCGTGTTTGGTGAAGCAGAGGCTCGGGGAGAGAGGAGGGCCCTCCGTGAGATGGGTCGACACCGTGGCCGCAGCGATGGGTCAAGCACGGCAGGGATCGCGAGGTCGGCACAGGCCGGGCAGTGTCTCGTTGTGTCGTACACGGGGTCACTGTGAGTCAGAGACGACTCGACGGCACCGAGCAACAGCAGTCCCCTGAGTCAGAAACCGTGTCCCCGCTAGCACCTGTGCTCCGTGTCGCCCCAGCACCCAGCCCTGCGCAGCCACCAGTCTTCTTTCCCTCTCTGTGGACATTTGCTGTCGATGGACCCACGCAATAGGTGGTCTTTGGTGACTAGCTTTTTCAGGGTTCATCCGCACAGCAGCCCGTATCTGTACCTCATCCCACGTGTGGGTAAACCCCGTTTTGTTTGCCGGTGCATCACTGAGGCATGTCTGCCTGCGTTGACTCTGAGAGTTATGACTAATGCTGCTGTGAGCATTTGTGCCCAGGGTTTTGTGTGGACGTATATTTTCATTTTCTTTGGCAGATGACTGGGGTGAAATCACCGAGTCATCCTGTAACTCTGTTTAAGGTTTGAGGAACTGCCAGACTGTTTTCCAAAGTGGCTGTGACATTTGATGTCCCACCAGCATGTATCCTGGTGGTGTCTTGAATCTGCTTCCAAAGAGAGTTTGTGCCCACATATATACACGGGTGAGTGTGGTAAAATTAGAAACTCACAACAGGAAGATCAAGGAAGAAGATCAAGTCCATGGAAGTTGAATAAGGCCCTGCTTAAAAACTACTGGGTAGTGGAAGAACTGACACACAAACTAAAACGATTTCTTGACTCAAATGAAAATGCAAACACAACATACTGAAATCTTTGGGACACAGCAAAAGCAGTGCTCAGAGGACAATTTGTAGCAATAAATACATATCAGAAAAGAAAGAACCAAAGCCAACACCTTAACCCAACGTCTCCAACAATTAGAAAAAGAACAGCAAGGTAAGCCTACGGTCACCAGAAGAAAAATAGTAGTAAAGATTCGAGCAGAAATAAGTGAAATAAAACCCGACAGAGTACCTGTGTGTGCCGTTGGTGGTCATCGAGTCAGCTGGGGCCTGTGCGGACCTCAGGTACAGTGCGGTGGGGGGTTGCCCGGGCCTGTGGCATCCTGGGACGGTGCGTGTGCGTGCGTTGGCCAAACGGTCCGTCCGTTGCCTTCAATTCACTGACTCTCTACCAAACGCGATTTCCCTCTCTAGCAACTGGAGCGTCTTGGTGGCTCGTTCAGAGCGTGCGAGCTGAGGCGTCTCCGTCCTCGCTTCCAGGGGGCATCCTGGTCGTATTTGTTCTGCGTTTGTTCATCCTGCCTTGCCGTCTCCAGCGTAGTCTACGTCCTCCCCCAGCACCACGTTCGAACGCATCGACTCTGCTGCAGTCTCCCTGACTCGCTGTGCAGCTCGCGCGTGCACAGGAGGTCGGGCGCACCTCGGTCCTCTCAGCTGCACCTCTGCTTTCCAGTCCTTTCCAGAGGCGCTTTGCAGCAGGTTTGCCCAGCGCCATCACCGTTTCATGTCCTCACTGCTGCTTCGCGCGTGTGGGTAGGTATCTTTGTTTTCTCTTGTATGGAAACAGTCACAAGCCAGACGCACTTACACCCTTTGCCTTTCTCCTGCGATAGTGCATCCAGGGGGTCATCCTTTAGCTGTGTTTGAAGAGCTGCCTCATTCTGTTGGACGGCTTCAGGCCTCCCGTTATGCTGGGTGTACTGTGGGGTGCTTGCCCGATCCGCTACTCAGGGACACTCGGGTGGTTTTCAGTCTTGTTTTTTTCTTTCCTCAGCCAACACCATAGTCAATATCCTTCCAGATGAATAGCCTTATAAATACATCTTTTGGTATATATATTAATGTACCTGCATTTGTATATTCTAGAAATGAAATGGTTGGTTCTAAAGATGCTTGAATTGTAGTTTTCACGGATTTTACTACTCTGTGTATATTGCACCAGCCTATGCTCCTGTTTAAGGACCTCCACTGGCACAGTGGAGGAGGCCTTTGACTGCTAACTGGAAGGTCAGGAGTTCAAACCCACCAGCCGCTCTGTAGAAGGAAGATGGGGTGACCTACTTCTGTGAAGATTTATAGCCTCAGGAACACAATGGGGATCTCTATGAGTCAGAAACAACTCAGTGGCAGTAAGGGTTTTGTTTGTTCGTTTGTTCATGCTCCTATTTAAGGAGGCCTAGTGGC